TGCAGGGATGGAGCAGGGCTGCCTGGGGACAAGGACAGGGCAGAGCGAGGGGGTTGGGTGCACTGTCTGGGACATTGGGCAGGAGGGGCTGAAGCAGGGATGCTGGCACATCCCCAACCCCACATCAGCTCCTGTGTCAGAGCAAGGGGCAGCCTTGCGAGGGGACGTGGGTGCCCCCGATGATGCAACCCCCACTGGTGCCACAGAACGGCTTGTGCCACTACAACCAGTCTGAGATGCTGGCCAAGATCACGGGCTACGTCAACGTCACCTCGGGCAACATCACAGCTGTCAAAACCGCCATCTACAAGCATGGCCCCGTGGCTGTCAGCATCGATGCCTCGCACAAGACCTTCTCCTTCTATTCCAATGGGATCTACTATGAGCCCAAGTGCGGTGAGTGGGGTGGCATGCGGGGATTGGGGTTCTGGGGGCGATGCCAAGACTCCCAGGTCCCCCACCTTGCTGTTGAGTGGCTTTGGCAGGGCTGGAGGAGGTGAGCAGCCCCATATGGGAAGGTCAGGTGGGATATTAGGAGAAATTCTGCGATCATAGATCACAGAAATGATAAGCATCTCCAGGACCGCTCTCCCCACAAGACCATTTCCCTTTTTGTCCCTGCAGCAAACAAGCCAGGACAGCTGGACCACGCAGTGCTGGCTGTGGGCTATGGCGTGCTGCAGGGAGAGACCTACTGGCTCATCAAGAACTCCTGGTCCACCTACTGGGGCAACGATGGCTACATCCTCATGGCCATGAAGGACAACAACTGCGGTGTGGCCACCGAGGCCACCTACCCCATCCTGGCCTAAAACACCTCTCTGAGGGCAGAGCCTTTGGTGGTGCTCCCAGCACACATCCGTGGATTGGAACCTTCAGACCTCGTGGTGGAGGAGGAAGATGGGGACGTGGTGGGACAGGACAGTGGGGCGCTGGAAAAGCAGCCATAAGCTTGCCAATAAAGACCCTGGAAAAACACGATTTGGTTTCTATGGCAGGGATTCAGTTGGTGGCTGGCTGGCTCAGCACAGTTCCTTGCTCCAGCCCTGGGGGACCGCAGGGCCCTCCTGGGGATGGGACAGTGGCATTTGCAGCATCTCAGCTGCCCATGGAGAGGCTCCTGCAGCCCTATCTTGAGGTGGAGCACAAACAACTGCAGGATTTCTGCTGAGCAGAGACATTCTTGATGCACGGGGGGAGCAGCCACCCTCTGCCCCAGTGCCTGGGCTGTGCTGGGGCCAGAGCGAGATGGTGGCACTCGGGGCAGCACTGTGTTTTCCACACCCTGGGGGGCTGCTCCCCTCTGTGGGGGTCTCTGCTGTACCCTCAGACATTGCTCATGGGTGTGCAAAGGCAGAGCCTGTGCTCCTATAGGACTGGGGCATGTGGGGAATGCTGCAGCACGGAGGGCACCACCCACACGTGTCCCCAGCAGCTCTCCAGCACCCAGCTCCTATCTGCCTTGTTTGGGGTTCGCCATCACCTTGGGCAGGGCTCCAGCTGGATGTGCTGCAGGCAGGAGGGGTGAAGGCCACCACTGCAGGGACAGCGCTGCTCTCCTTGTCCATGTAGCTCCTGAGATGTGATCTATATTTTCCTCCTTTTTTTTTTCTTTTTTTTTTTTCAGTTAACTCCCATAACTGTAGCCCCTGGGTTTGTGCTGCTGGCTTATCCAAAGGGATGCGGGAATGCAAAGTCCCCATGGCTCCAATGGGGGCATTCTGCCAGGAGGGTGGGAGCACCCGAGGGGACTTTGCTTTCTTGCTCTCCTGGCGCAGCTGATGAGGTTCACCTGCAGCTCCTGCACTGCTGTAAGTGCTGCTGCAAGCTGCAGGCAGCAGAGCCTTGGGAGGGAGCACAGAGATCCCCCCAGCCCCCCCAATCCCTGGGTGCTCGTGGTGGGGCAACCCAAAGCCACCCCCCCCCCCCCCTCCCATGGTCCCATCCTGGCTCTGGGAGGGCTGTGCCTGTTGGCTGCAGCCAGCTCCCTGCCCACCCAGTGCTCCTATTTAAGCAGGGCAGTGGGTGGGGGTGGGTGGGTGCAGGATGGGGGGCTGGGGGTGGTTGCTGGTGCTTAGGGCTGCAGTGCTACTGGGTGAGTGCTCAATGTGAGCGGCGGGAGGGGAAGGGGTGATGACTGTGCCCTCTTCACGGGGAGATGTCCCTCAAGTGGTGCTGAGCTCTGCCTTGTCCCCATGCCAGGGAGGAGTGGGGACCCCTTTCCAGCTTCAGAATCCTCTGCCCCGAATGGGCGAAGTGGGAGCCGTGCTCTGCACCTCCCCTGCTCTGCCCCTTCTACCTGGGGTTTTATGCAGGCATTGAGCCAGGGACCAGCTCAGCTGCCAGCCCTGCCCTTGGAGAGGTGGGCAAGCAGCATTTTAAAGGGCTTTAAAAATTATTGCTTTCCTTTTCCCTTCCAGGAGCAGAGAGCAAAGCTCCTCCAGAGAGACCCACGTTTGGAGATGTCTATCATGTTGAAGGTACTGCTGGGGGGGGTCCAGCACCTCTGGGTGCTGCTGAGTGGCTGCTGTGGGTGTGGGATCAGTGGGGTGACACCATGGGGTGCCCACAGGAGCCATCAGCCTGCCCTACGCCGAGATCAGGGAGCCCTTTGAAGCCTGGTACAACCTCACAGGGGAGAAGAGCCGCATTGAGTATTATGGAGGTGGGTGCAGAGAGCTCACGGCCTCCCCACGGAGCCACCCCAGTGCCAGCGCCACGGCTGGAACCCAGCGCTGTCCCATCCCCAGGCCAAGTGGTCACCTTCCAGTTCGGCTCCATGGGGCCTTTTGGTGCCAGCTTCAAGGTGACACCAGAGACCACGGAGACGGAGCTGAACGTCCGCAAATGTTTCCGCATCAACGGCACGGACGGGGATCTCATCGTCCCACAGAGCGTCTTCCCCAGCCTGGAGCACTTCAGGGTGAGCCCCCAGCACGGTGACTGGGAGTGAGACAGGGGAGGGGATGGAACAGCGATGGGCATGGTGGGTGCCACAAGAGCTCCCAGAGAGGGGCAGAAGTGGTTGGGAATGGGGCAAATGCGAGGCCAGGTCCAAGCCTGGCATTCTGCAGGGCACTGCGCAGCTGGGGGCGCGGTGGCACTGAGGTATTGCTGACGTTCTGTGCCCAGCGGGTGCGGGAGGAGCAGTTCCACGGGCAGCCCTGCACCGTATGGCAGAACGTCTCCTACTGGGGCCATAAGAAGAACGTCTACACGCTGCGGGTGGGCAGCTCGATGCACGGCCCTGTGCCCCTGCATTATGAGGTGCGGGGCTACAACAGCCTGCTGGGATCCCACTATGACAAATACGAGATCGAGTACAGCGCCTTCGGGCACCGCTTCGACCCCAGCATCTTCCAGCTCCCACACGGTGAGCCACCCCACAGCCCACAGCCCTCCTCCATCCCACAGGGGATGTGCCTGCATGAAACGCAGCTCTGCATCCTCCTCTTGAACGTGCTTCAATGAAGTTGCATGCGCCCTCTAATTTGGGGCAACAGGTTTAGGAGAAGGGGAGGTGGGAAAATAGGTGAAAATGATAACTAGTGATCCCAGTGTTGAGGAACCCTGTTTTGGTGCAGTGCAGGGATGCTCCAGCTCTGGTTGCAGATGCAGATTCCCCATGCAGACCCCTATAGAGGGCGGGCACTGGGCGCAGCTCCTGCATGCAGACCCCTATATAGGGCGGGCACTAGGCACAGACCCTGCATGCAGACTCCTACCGAGGGCAGGCACTGGGTGCACACCTTGCATGCATCTATATAGGGCGGGCACCCCATGGTCTGCAGGTGCCATACGCCCTGCTGCGGGGTCAGGAGCTGCTGTCCATGCCCCGAGGCTGCAGCCCCGCTCTGTGCCCCATAGGTTTGCAGTGTGAGCAGTGGCCCACAGCCGGCCCCGAGCACCGCATCGTGGCCAACCCCATGCAGGAGTTTGTGGGGACTGCCACGGACACTGAGCACGTCCACCACCGCCTCTTCCATCACTATAAGGAGAGGTTTGGGAAGCGCTACAGCAGTGAGGAGGAGCATGAGCACCGCAAGAGAACCTTCATCCACAACATGCGGTGCGTATGGGGCGGTGGGTGGAGAGCCGGGGGCTCGCAGGGGCTCCCCTGAACCCACAGCATCTCTCCCAATCCCCAGGTTTGTGCACTCCAAGAACCGTGCCGCGCGCTCCTACTCGCTGGCGCTGAACCACCTGGCTGACCGCACGCCCCAGGAGATGGCTGCAATGCGGGGACGGCGCCGGAGCGGGGACCCCAACCATGGGCAGACCTCCTCCATGCAGCTCTACACCGGACTCATCCTGCCTGAGAGCCTGGACTGGAGGCTGTATGGTGAGGAGGGACCCGGCCTGGCTGGGAGCATGGAGAGCCCTCACTCCTGCCTCAGTTTCCCTTCACACCCCATCGGTTGTCCTGCTGTCCCCAGGCGCGGTGACCCCCGTGAAGGACCAGGCTGTCTGTGGGTCCTGCTGGAGCTTCGCCACCACGGGCGCCATGGAGGGGGCCCTCTTCCTCAAGGTGGGAGCGGGGACCCAACGCTTTGGGGTGGCCGGAGGGTTCCTGTCCCTGTCCCTACACCGTGTCCCCCCACAGACCGGCGTGCTGACCCCGCTGTCCCAACAAGTCCTCATTGACTGCTCCTGGGGCTTTGGGAACTACGCGTGTGATGGGGGTGAGGAGTGGAGAGCCTACGAGTGGATCAAGAAGCA